CAAGTTAGACACCGGTCTAGTCTACTTACCAAGTTCTAGGCCAGTCAGGAGTACAAATGAGATCTCTCTCTCTCTCTCTCTTTCACACACACACACACACACACACACACACACACACACACACACACTCACAGTGTCATAGTCGGGGGAAGTCACTGGACAGATTGCTCAGTGGTTAACTGCTTGCTGCTCTTTTCAGAGGACCTGAGTTGTGAGTACCTGTACCAGGCCACTCAAAACCACAACTGGCTAGAACTCCAGCTTTAGGGGATCCAATGCCTCTGGCCTCCTGTATTCATTCACACACACACACACACACACACACACACACACACACACACACACACAATCACATAACTTAAAATAATAAGATGAATTCTGAAAAGAAGAAGATGAAGGAAAGCATCTATAGATTCCTTTGTCCATATCCAGGATAAAGCCTGACCTCATAAACCGCACTACAACCCATAACTCTTGCACAGATGAGCAAACTGAGGCTCACTGTGGTTGCCCAGGGAACAGACACTAGCTCTGTTATCAGGTGGTCAGAGACTCACAACTGTGAGAGGGAAGGAAGGAAATGATTCTGTGTTCATTCTGTCTGGTGAGATGTTTTTAAGTGCAGCAGAGGGAAGGAAAGATCCAGAAAAGCTTCGAACACAGTCCTACTCTGATAACACAGTTATCGGAGAAATGCTGTTGTCGTCATCATTATTATTATTACCATTATTTTGTTTTTTGGAGACTGGGTGGTCTCTATGTAGTCTTGACTGTCTTGGAACTCCCTCTGTAGACCAGGCTGGCATTGAACTCACAGAGATCTGTCTGCCTCTGTCTACCGGATGCTGGGGTTAAAGGCGTACACCACCATGCCCAGTTGCTGTTGTAATTATTGTTTTTTTCACAGTGTGGGGGAATTGAACCCAGCACCTCACCCATTCTAGGCAAGCAATCATGCTGTCACTGAGCTGAGCCCCTGGCTCTGCTACCGTCACTATTCAGGAAGTGAGGGAAACTGGGCAGTGGTGGCCCACGCCTTTGATCCTAGCACTTGGGAGGCAGAGGCAGGTGGGTCTCTGAGTTCAAAGCCAGCCTGGTCTACAGATTGAGTTCCAGGACAGCCAGGGCTACACAGAGAAACCCTGTCTTGAAAAGAGAGAAAGTGAGTGACAATGTTTAAGATCCGGGTGGGAACAGGTCTTCACGGCCTGGCTGACAGCGAGGAAATCCCTGCTGAGGTGAATGTCGTCTTTGGCCTCTTCCCCACCGCAGGTGGACCCACTCCCTGCTTCCATTATCCTTTTTGTGGGCCGAGCCTGGGATGCCTTCACTGACCCTCTGGTGGGCTTCTGCATCAGCAAATCCTCCTGGACCCGCCTGGGCCGCCTCATGCCCTGGTAAGTAGAGACGCTCCTTCACAGTGCAGAAGGCGAGGCTTCCGGTCTATTTGTCCGTCAGTCCGTCTGTCTCTTGTCACAGGCTTGAGGGGACGAGGTGACACAAAAGCTTAAAGGTGTTGAGACCCCGAAACCCCAAGCTGAGACCTTAGCTGCCCCAGACGTAGGCACTGGGACACCCGGCCAGTTCATTTCTGAGCTGGCCCAAGTGACGTTGGTTCCCCTCCCTCAGCTCAGGGAGGTCCTCTCACTCACTTTGGTGAAGCTGGAATCATCAGTTCTCCCACCCGTCACTTCTGTAGTGGCAGAAGCTGGTCTTCAGAACAGCTGGGGGGTTGCCTGGGTTTCAGTGGCGGCGGCGGCGGCGTTACTTAGAGCTGTGTTGTCTGGAGCAAGTTACTTACCATCTCTGAACCTTAGGGAAAATAGAGGTATGGTGAGGATTTTAATATGTAAACCACTCAGAATAATGCCTGGCAGGTCTTGATACCCAATTTGACGTTCCTTCAAGGTGGTTAATGGTAGGACATGGGTAGGGGCAATACTGAGAATGGGATTGTTCCTTGAGTCTATTCAGCCTCAGCCTGTGTGGAACAAGGTTGGGGGAGGCAGTTGCCATAGATCAGACCGTGATGGAGCCGCACAAGACAGGCCAAGCCCGGGCTCTGGTTCCCTCCAGGACATCCTGCTTCAGGGGGTGGGGGGGTGTACCCCTTTCATCTCCAGCCCATCCAAGCTTAAGTGGGCGCCTTCCTGCCCCAGGGGCGCCCATACCTGGTCTCCGGCCTTCAAAGCTCTTCCAGCAGCCTCTGCACCTCCACGGTTTCCTTTCCCACGAGGCCCCCCACCCACCCCAATCCTGCCAGCCCCTGGCAAAAGCCCAGCTTGGAGCCTTTGATCCGGGCTTCATGGCCAAGGGGATGGAGGGGAGGGCAGGAGAGAGCCTCCTTTACCTGGGCAAGCTGCTCAGGGAGCTCTGAGCGCCAGCCTGTGAGACTTGGCCCTGTGCCGGCCTCCTGGCAGCTGGTGGAGGGCGGGGCCCCGCTCCCACATCGCCTCATGAGGCCCAGCCAATAGGAGGCCGCTGTCGCATGCCCTGCCTCACAGGGTTACTCCCAGTCACATCGGGTTCCTAGGCCGGCAGAGCTGTTCAGCGGCCTGCCTAAGAGGATGGGGAGTTTGAGGGAGGCTGAGAAGGAGCCCTGTTCTCTGAGGAGACAACGTGGAGGGGGTGGAAGGAGGAGGAGGAGGAGGAGGAGAGGACCAGCAAGGCTTCCCTGTAGGAGGGAGGTCTGGGGACTTTTGCTTAGTCAGTGTGACAGCTACGCCAGGAGAGTTGCTGGGGACCCCTTAGGCTGCTTTCTGGGGGCGGGCAAGTGCCTGGGCGTGTGTCAGAATACACGTGGGATGGCTCATAGGCTGAGGGGCGCTTGTGTTCATCCCAGGCTGCATCTCCTCTCGCCCAGAGAGACCAGCAAGAGTCTGGGTCTGTCAGGGTTGGTTAGTGCTAGCCGGGTCTCCTCCCAGATGTTAGGGCAGTTGCGACCCAAGCCCCTCCTGCAGACCACAAAGGTGCTGACACTCTCTTTCCCAGGACTTCCTAAGGCCCCCTGTGAGACCCCGTCGGCAGGGTCACACGGAGGTGCAGCAGGCTGCCCCTGAGGTTGGTTGCCAGGCATTGCCCACTTGTGGCCCTGGCCTGTAGTGGTTCCCGAAGACCTCTTCTCCTGTCGAGCCTTCCTGATATGATCACAGCAAACACTTCACTGTCCCAAGCACTGTTCAACATTTTTTCTGTCAACTCACTTGAGACTTGAGCCTACTTCAAGCCCCAGAGCTGAAGTCCTCACACTTGCCTGTGAGGTGTCCCCTTTCTCCACCTTATCTCCCGATTCCATCTCTCTTGCTCACTGCACTCCAGCCCATGGGCCCTGCTGTTCCATACTCCTGTCCCAGGACCTTTGCACAGACTGTCCCCTGCCTGGGCCCACACTTGCCTCAGAGGTCTGTAATGCAGACTCTGACCATATCCACGCCTTCTCAGTTACTGCCCTCTCAGCCAGCTGTGAACTGCGCCTGCAGTCTCCTGGCTACTGGCCTGTTTTAGTCTCTACAGCTTCAGCCTCTTCAAGCCTGCTTCCTTTTCTCCACAGCATTTATAACCGTTCAGTATGTTATAACTGTATAAAGACTGTTCACCTTATTTATGGATTTATTTGTGGTAGAACTCAAATGTAGGGCCTTGCCCATGCCAGGCAAGCGTTCTTCAGCCTTGATCTTTGTTTGGTTGTGTTCTTTGAAGACTAGGTTTCCTGTAGCCCAGGCTGGCCTCCAGGTCATGGTTCTCCACCTCTTAAATGTTCAGATGATAGTCATGTACCAATACCTCCAGCTCAAGCCTTGTTTGGTTTGGTTTGTTTTTGAGACAGGGTCTCACTATGTAGCCCTGGCTGCCCTGCAACTTGTTATGTAGACCAGGTTGCCCTCAGACTACAGAAATACACCTGCTTCTGCCCCTTGAAAGCAGAGAACATGAGGCCAGCCTGGTCTGCATGATTACATAGAGAGACCTTGTCTCAAAAAAATGAAAAAAACAAAATCAAATATATATATATATATATATACATATATATATGTATATATATATATATATATGTATGTGTGTGTGTGTGTGTGTGTGTTTTGCTTGCATGTACAACTGTGCCTGGTACCTGAGGAGGTCAGAAGAGGACTTTGGATCTCTTGGAAACTGGAGTTATGAATGGTTATGAGCTGCCATGTGGGTACTGAAAATTTAACCTAAAAACCAAAAACAGATCTCACTAAGTAGCCCAGGTTGACTTTGAACTCACGATCTTTTTGCCTCTGTCTCTTGAATGTGGGGACTCTAGTCCTGCACCACTCTGCCCAGCAAGTTGTAACCTTTGTTGTTGTTGTTGTTGTTTCCAGACAGGGTCTCTCTCTGTAGCTCTGGCTGTCCTGGAACTCACTCTGTAGACCAGGTTGTCCTCAAACTCACAGAGATCCACCTGCCTCTGCCTCCCCAGTGCTGGGATTAAAGTCACCTGGCTTACCGTAAACTTTTGAGGTGTCTGATAAAGTAGCGTTAAGCATATTTACATCCTTGTGTGACCACCATGGCCTCCCGTCCCATTATTTTTTATTGTTGCCTTTTTTTCTGCAAAGCCCTGACTGTCCTGGAATTCAATTTGTAGACCAGGCTGGCTTTGAACTCAGAAGTCTGCCTGCCTCTGCTTCCCAAGTGCTGGGATTAAAGGCGTGCACCACTACTGCCTGGCACATCCCAATACTTTTTCATTTTTTCAAACCAAAACTTTGAGTTCATCAAAAGATAATCCCTACTTCCCCCTCCACCTATCAATCTGTCAACCACTTTTTTTTTTGTTTTGTTCAAGGAGGGTATATGGTGGTGGTGGTGGTGGTGGTGGTGGTGAGTGTGTGTGTGTGTGTGTGTGTGTGTGTGTGGACAACTTTCAGGAGTTGATTCTTTCTGCCATATGGGTTCTGTGAATTTGAACTCAGGTCATCAGGCACAGTCAGTGCCCTTAGGAGCTGATGTATCTTCCATATGAAACTATGGATTTGGTGGACCCCCTGCCCCATAAGTTAAACTGTACAATACTTGTCTTTTAGACACTTGGCCATTCCTCAAGGTTCTCTGTTGTAATATGTGTCAGGAATTTCATTTTTAGGGCTGAATAGCATGTAATTTATGTTGTTTACCGACTAGGCTGTGCGTTCTGTAAGAGCAGTGGTATCTTTTTCTTCACAGATACATCTTCAACAGTCAGAATAGTTCCTAGCACATCACCGAGCTCCATAAATATTTGATTAAATGTTGAATGTAGGCAGTGTACTGTTTCTTATTTTCATTTTATATGTGAAGAAATGAGTCTCAGAGAAGTTAAATAATTTGCTGAAGACTAAGTTGTTTTTTTTTTTTTTTTTTTTTTTTTTTTTTTTTTTTTAGACTAAGTTTTTATAGTGACAGACTCAGAATTGGACCCCAGAAGTGTATGTAACTCAGGGCCTTCCTCTTTTTAAAAATATTTATTGTGGGTGTTTGTTGGGGGGGTGGGCATGTCTGCAGACACATGGGCAGGCCACAGTACATGTGGAGGCAGAGGACAATTTGTGGGAGTCGGTTCCCTCCTTCCGCCATGCGTGTAGGGAAGGGTATCAGGCTGTCAGGTCTGGCAGCAAACGCTCTTACCCACTGAGCCGTCTTGCTGGCCTGGGGCCTTCTTCCGGTTAACTTTGTATTCCGCTTCCTGTGCTAATGCTGTGAAGTTGATCCGTCCTGAGGAATAGCCTCTCGTGATAGGTTGGACTCACATGGGAGCCAGACATTTGTCCCCCATCCTCCTTACAGTTCTGTGACTGGGTCCAGTCCTCTTCCGCGGACTCTCTCTCCTCCTTCACCAGATGCTGGCCTCTCCCACCCACTCTAGCTTCCCTGTGTGTATACAAATGAAGCATGGAGGGCAGAGGACAGGTGCTAGAATGTCCCTTTCACTGGGACTCCTGCTCCAGGAAAGACATGCATGAGACTCGGAGTCTGACCCCCATGCTCCTTGCTCTCTGACCCCTTCAAGCTCCTTGCTCAAGATTTTGGTCCAGGAAGTTGCCCTCTTCGGTCCTCCGGGCACGGCCATCGGTCTCTTCCCCTGAGGCTCTGGGTTGGGAGGGTTCAGAGTAGAAACTTCCTTCTCTGTTGATGGGCACCCGTGGAACAGATTTGGGCTCTTAGAATCCTCCTGCCTCTGCTCAGACCTTTCTTTCCCTTCCTCAGGATCATCTTCTCCACTCCCCTGGCCATCATCGCCTACTTCCTCATCTGGTTCGTGCCCGACTTCCCACTAGGGATGGAAAGGTCCCATGGGTTCCTCTGGTACCTGCTTTTCTACTGCCTTTTTGAGACACTGGTCACGGTGAGTGTGGGCTCCTCCCCTTGGTACCTTGGTGAGGGGCAGGGTCAAGGGCCATCCCTGGGGGCCTCTGCATGTCTCTTCATCCATCTGACTGGCCGAGAGCTTCTCTTCCACAACAGTGCTTCCACGTCCCCTACTCAGCACTCACCATGTTCATCAGCACGGAGCAGAGTGAGCGAGATTCCGCAACTGCCTATAGTGAGTCCCTCCCCGTCCCTCCCAGTCCCTCCCTGTCCGCTGGGCCCTACCCGCCGGGGGCCCTGGACCTCTCTGCTCCCAGCCCCCTCCCACACCTTGGACTTTGTGGGCCCAGCTCTTTGCTCTACTCTTCAGTGTGTGTGTGTGT